CTTCCGAGGGCTCCGACCGAGCTCCTGCAGCACGTGACGCAGCGAGGAGGGCACCGTACCTTTTGGGAAGCAGTGGAAGCCAACCTTGACGGGAGCTGTCTCGACGGGAGTACAGTCCTGCATGCATTTCAGTACTGGGTCAGCAGAGTAGCACGTGGATTCCTCTCCATCAATAGTAGGGTTTCGATCCAGCTTCACATAACCGCGCTGCAGCTTGCACCCTAAGAGGAAAAGGGAAGGTAGCTAAAATTGTAGAAATAAATCCCAATCGATGCTTGCAATAATAGAGGTCCGTATTTTCTCTTCAGCTTTTATTAAAACACAGTTGCCTGACAAACCATTTTCACAGCAGTGAGGTTATCGAGATGGAATGATAATAAGTTGGGGGACAGAGCCTGAAAGGGGAGCTATTTTTAAAATCTAATTGCACAATATAACCCAAATGGAATCATGTATACCCAGTTTTTTAGAACTCCATAATACACAGAAAATAACCTCTCGTGTCTGAAAGCTATTAAGAATAGATACTGCAAGCACAATGGCTACTTCATTGCATTAGGAAAAATGTCAACTGTAGTGAATAGATTAAAAAAAAAAAGGCAGCATTTATATAATAACATCAAGGATAATTTTTGTATTGGATGATTTTTATAATGCTACAATTATCTCACTAGAAAGGTATAATGTAACTTAACAGGATCCCAGCTACGACTCTGTTTCCTGGCACACGGAGAAGTACAATTCTGCTGCCACTGAAGTCAAGGAGAAAACAACCATTAACTTCAATAAAGTTATCTCAGGTCCAAGGTAAATGGAGACCTACAGAACAAAACTGTATTGATGTTATGGGAGATCATCGTTATTTTTCCAGCTACATGTGAGAGGAAGCTCTTTGACTTTCAGAGTGTTTCTAAATATTTCCTGGAAACTGCACCCTCGGATGGTACAGAGCAAGAATGAAATCGCCTGCGCTCTGAGAAGTTGCACAAAGTGAAGATCTGACACTGCATTCACAGCCTGCAACTTGTTTGATGAAATTAAGTCTGCAGATAACAGCCGAAACTGCTTTGATTCAGCGGTGAAAATCACACTTATTTCAGTGGGAGCAAGATTAGGCCTGATTTTGCCTCTCCAAGAAAAAAGCTGCTCAGTGTAAGAAGTTACAGTAGAATCAATTATTTAACACTGAACTGCACAGGAGAGAAAGACTTTTGCTGTTGTATATATCCTCTATATTCACAGGCAGTGTGTTAAACAGTCAGTGGTTAATGAAACTAAAATGGACACGTGTTGCTATTGTCTTTTCTAAGTAAAAAATATCTGCTGCTCTTAAAAAAAAAATAATTTCTGACTATTGGCAGAGGAAAAGCGAAATCGTGTTCTCCCCAGGCATGAAGTGTTCTCAGATCCACTCACCACCAGAGCAGGTTTCTTCTAGCAAGACCCATGAATGAACAAAAGCGGAACAGCTGTGGGCCACCTTGCGGTTTGGCATCTGCAGTTCATTGTGCTTTTCCCTGTCATTATTTCCACAAACCCCACAGGTCCTTCCTCTCATCCATGAAGCAACAATAACCTGCAAAACAGCACATCTCCGCAGTGAACGCTGAAGTTGCACTGCCGTGGTACTAAACAAAGCGGTGACCTTGATAGCAAGCCCAGTACCTTAAGGGTCACGCCATCGAAAGTCACCTTCTTCAGCCCATGTGTTGGAACTTCCACGATAACCGTTGCTCCGTTTTTATAAATTTTAACATTGTCTGTAAAAAGATAGTGACTCATAAGGTGATCTGCTCAATTTCAAATTAGTGGAGAAACTGAGTAGCACAAACCTCAGCGTAACGCGTTTTCCTTCGCAATGACCATCTTGCTGCTACAGTTGGATTAATTTATTTTTTTTTTGTGGCAAGAGGAAGCAAAACTAGAAGCAATTATCTCTTTATTTGTAAAAGTATTTTACTGCTGTTCCCTACGGTTGGAACTGGCTTTGGTATCCAGTCTGCTAAGCCTCTAAATGATAATGACACTGGTGATGCTCCAGCTAAATATCTGAACCAAAGCACCTAACTGTGGCTATTGCAAGAACATTTTTCTAAACAATCCACAGCCTGGACATGCCATATATATAAGAAGGAGCTTTAGTTAATGTCAGCTATGCTGGAGGAAAGTAAGAGTGCATATACTAGAGGAAATGGGAACATGAGTCAATACAAATATTAAGAAAGTAAAGTCTCTAGTTTTTCTTTGAATTAATCCCACTTGTGTTTTCTTTACACTGAGATTTTTCTGTGGAATTTATAAAACCACCTTGAAGATATTAGTTTCTAGGTCAGTCCTGGAAAAGTGGGTATCACAGTTTACCTTTTTCATACTCAGAATCTCCACTGTGTGACAGAACTTGTTCTTCATTGCATGCCACAAGGAGAGATGAATTTGCAAGAGGACAGATTGTGATGTTCCTTCAGAAAAAGAATCAAAAAAAAAAAAAAAAGGAGAAACTAATGCTTAATTTAAAATGTGAAAAGAAGAGATATTTGTGACTAAAGCTAGCAGAGAATCAATCTCAATATCTGAATTTTGAATGAATGAACGTATGAACGAGCTGTTTTCTTTCCAAAGTGCAAAATTAGGACTTTGGATTTTGAGTTTCAGCCTTTACAGAAAAGACGGCATGGGGACTTAATGAGCACATTGTCAGGTAATGGTGGCTGTGAAATTGAAGACAAGAGCAACTAAACCAAGACTCTCAGATGAGGATTCCTTCTGGAAATCCTGTCTTTCCCCAGATATCCGATTGCGAACCAGTTTCACCTCGGGGCTGGACACCGGCCATCCCCAGACTAACTCCCTGCAACATTATACCTAATTCCCGAGCCCTCGGGATAAACCACACTTACGCTGAGGTCGTGTTTATGTGCACCACTCTCGATGAAGACTGAGGATCAACCTTTCTTGTAGCAATGATGAATTTTGGGTGTTCAGTACAGTCTTGGGCCACTATCAGGTTGCAGTTTTTATTAAAAGAATATGTGTGGCTCACGCGGTCGAACGTTTTGAAATCTCCCTCTCTGACTTCACATGTGGCTGCAAAACAAAACCAGAAAGGCAATGGCAGATGTGACAATGGCAGGTGTGCCGCTGCAAAGCATTGAAAGTCACCTCTGAGAGACTGAACTGCCCAGCAAATGGGAAAGAAACTTCATTGTCTCCTGCGCAGAAGCTTTCAGTGCTGCCAGAGTCTGTAAGGACAGGATAGCACTACACAATAACTGCCAGATATAGCCTATACTGGTATTGATTTTGGTTACAGGCTAAACACAGAACTCCAGCTAACAGGGACTAAAATGTACCGAATTCCTGAGAAACTAAACCCAGTAGCTGACCATGATAAAAAGCGGTTCCCATTTCCCACAGAAGTGCTGGGCACCAGCCAGCTGTGACTCACACGACTCCTTTCTGAAGAAAATAAACAGGGAAGAAAATACACGATCTGTCTTGTACCCATCATCTGATGCCTCTCAGTGCAGAGATGGCACCTTCTTAGACTGGGCAAAAGCTCTAGTCCTTGCAGACGGGAATGGTTCCTGAACTCTGAATATTTGCATCAGTTTGAAGTCTCTTCCTTCACCTGCCAACACACGTGTTTCCAAGTGAAGGAACGAGCTGTTGAGAAAGCAGGGTTAGAGATGCTCTGCTTCCCTAGAAGACCACTACAAGGAAAGGCAAGGCCCAGTCATGGCAGAGGACTGATCTACAAACATTGCTTATTCATGAGACAAGCATATAAACAGTATTTACATTGATCTTCTTGTGCTATTTGAGAAGCTATTTCAGGAAATATATTCCAGGCAGTGATATCTCGAGTCTCGTAAGTTGGAGATGGGCCTAAGGGCAGCGTGAATGGCATTCGGAGAGCCTGATAGTAAAGTGTTACCTGAAAAAGCAGAAATGAAAATACATTAAGATAAATTGAACCGTCTTGCTTGAGATATGACTGCAAACAAAAAAAAAGACTCTTATCTTGAAAAAAAAAATCTTGAAGATGCATTTATACAATTGCAGTTGTGTTAGTCTCTCCAGAATGCACCTGAACCTTAAGCTTTTGTGAGGAATCATTGTCTTCTCTTCTAGTCACTCTTGTTGACTTCTTGAGAAATTGTTAAGGACATTGGAAAATAACAGACACAGATGAATCATAGAATCACAAAGTGGTTTGGGTTGGAAGGGACCTTCAAGATCATCTAGTTCCACCCCCCCCACCATGGGGGCAGGGACACCTCCCACCAGACCAGGTCACTCCCAGCCCCATCAAGCCTGGCCTTGAGCCCTGCGA